ACTGCTGCGAGGGTTGGATGTGAATGGCACGCAGGTGCCGCTTCTCTGGAGAATCACCCTTGGCTGATGGGAATGGCCCAGGCCAGAGGTGCCTACAAGGTTATGCTTCTGCCGTCCCCGGGATGGCCTGCAGTCAATGGCTGACTGACATGCAGGTACAGATGTTTGTTTGCCTCGAGGTGCAACAACTGTTCCGTGAAGTACCACTCATGTTTCAGGGCTCCCTGTGTGAACAGGCTGAGATCAGATGGCAGCTGAAACCACCTCTTTGCTCGGCTTCTTTTCTCCTGTTCTGCCTCCCCTACTTCCCTTTAGGCTTCTCCTGAGAGCCTCCTCTCAATAAATCACTTGGACAAGACTCCTTGTCCCAGGCTAGGCTTTTCTCCCCAAGACCTAAAAGAGAAGATTCTGGGTCTCTGTTTCCCTAGACAGAAAGTGAGGGAGTTGGCTCCATTTTCACTGATGGGTCTATTTCATGAATACAGATTTTAATTTCCAGAATATTTTTGTATACTTTGTACCCTGATATTCAGGTGTGTCTATTCTATATGCTTTCCTTTTCTTGTATTTCCCAAAGGGAGATTAGTTGAGAAGCAGTTAGGTATCTTCTAAGTCAAAATTTCTGAGCACTGAAATGTTTCTCCACTAGGGAGAGCAGGGGACAGACGGAACATTCCATCTTGCCTGGAGGAAATTACAGCAAACAAAACTTTTTGTTTAGGTGTAGAATACTCAACATTTTCTTGGTCAGGCTCATGTTTTCATTGCTTCCACTACAGTAGACATCTTTTTAGCTTTGATAGAAATCTCCCAGGCTCAGCCTTAAAAAAACCCTTTAAAATCACACATCTGGGTGTTACATCATCACTTGCACAGTATTTATGGACCAAAATAAACCATATTAAGGTATAGTTTAGGAGAAGTTAGAGAATGTTCATTCATTGGGGGCCTGTGGAGGCTTCAGTTGCGATAGAAAACCTCCATTATGCGTATTTCTTCTAGCCCATTAACTGATCACAGCGATGAACATTTCCTTAGCTGTCCTTGCTCACTTTTATTCCTAATGAAAAATCAAATTAGGAAATAATGTGAATCTCCCTGTCTGCCTGTTAATTTCCTTTCCATAAAATTGGCTGTCGTACAGTAACCTAAAGGGGAAATGTGCAGGAATCTGTATTTACAAGTTCTCTGTTTTCCCAGTGGAAGAAAATGTATCATTCTAGGGTCTAAATGTGATCTTTGGTTTACTGGACATTTGGAACCTGGCTTGTATATAGTTTCCTTGAGAGTGACAAGCGGGGACTCTGAGGAGGACAGGGATGGGACAAGAGAAAAGAACAGGAGCTAGTTATGGTCTCCTGCTGTGCCAGCCATGTGACATTCATTGTTTAGCTTAACTGTCACAAGAGCTGTGCAAGGCACCTGCCGCTCTCCTCATCACAGGTGAACAAACAAGTTCCAAGTTTTACATGCAGTAGGTGTGGGGCAGGCCTCTGGATGTATCTCTTCAATTCATGGACGCCCCCATGGGAAATGAATTCATTTGTTAGATGAGAGTAGATTTAATCGGGTAATTACATTAGATGGTCAAATTCATAAATATAGATTTATAAATAGGATGAGAAAAACTGTAAGTCAATTGACAGTTTAAAAATACGAAAAAAAGAAAATAAAATAAATATTTATGATGTCAAATGGCAGGCTCAACTTTATCAATTCAGTAAAAAAAAAAAAAAAAGTTTCAACTTTCCCAAGTTCAAAAATGTAACTGACCTAGTATAGGCTTGTGGAATGGGATCACAGAACAAAACAAAAGGAATACTAGATTTCCTTTTCCTTCTCACAGACAAAATGCCATTTTCTATTGATTGTTAATTTTATGGTGTCCTTTGAAAAAAGGCAGAACAGATATTATCAAACCTGTTTTGTACATTGTGAAAACTACACAACAAAGGACTTAATCAACATGTTGAATCACTTACTTAGTGAATGTCAGATGTAATATTAGCACAGAGACTCAGCTCTGTAGTTTATCATAGGCCATTTGTTCTTATGGAAGGCTCTTTGGAAATACATGAGATCTCCAGATGCAGATGCACATTAATTAATTAACTCCATAATTTTGTAGTGTTTACAATGTACCAGGGTCACAGGAACCATGGGAGACACAAGAGTATCTTGAGCCTACACCTGTCCTTAAGGGTCTTCCAAGCTGGTGAAGGGATAGGACAAACTACTTGAAAACCAGTTTTAGTCCCTTTCTGAATTACTCTTTAATGAAAATCACTGTTAGGGGAGTGGTACATGTGAGAATTCAGAGGTGTGAAGACTCCATGTGGATATGGATAGGTGCCACAGCCAATGGTAGGAGGTAAGTTTTGGTTGGGATTTGGAGACTAGAGATAGATGGAGGAGAAGAAGGAGTAGAAGGAGAGAGAATAGGGACCAGGTGAACAAAGATGCAGATGTAGACAGGAACCCAGCACCCTGGAGAACAGAGTGGATGGAATGGAAGGTTTATTTTGGGGGGTAGTGGCAAACACATTTGGAAAGAAGGACCAGGGACCAATAGCATAGGACCTCTGAGGCCCAGCAAGGTGGTCTGTGCTTAAGCCTGTAGGCACAGGGGAGCTTTTGAGGACTTTTACACAGCAGAGTCATCTAATGCAAATAGTGTTATAGCAAGATAAATCTGAAGAGTATACAGTCTGAATGGAAGAAGAGGATTAGATCAGGCAGAGAAGATGAAATAAAATAATACATGTGAAATAGGTAATGCATGCTAGTCCTGATACCATTCTTATAATCTTTGCATTAGCAAAGAGGGCACAGTTGAAAAAAGAGAAGGAAAACTGATGGAGTAAGTTATCAGGATTGAGAGGGCATGACCTGGAGCCTTTGTGGACAGAGTAGCTTTCTCTTCCTCTGAAGTGGGAAGGAAGTGGGAGGTGATAGGTGGGGATCCAGGGCAGTTTATAGACACTGATTACACAGAGTTCCCCATGGGGACCATAAAGATGAGTAAGACACCATTCTGTACTCTCCCTTCTCAAACATTCACTTCATTTAAATGAAGAAAGAGATACTTAACCTTATGCTTTTGAAATTCAAACATGCCCAGCAGCGGCCTACAAAAGGCAAAATTCTGGCAATAGGTATTCCTTAGGGGATTTAACTGCTGGCCTTGCTTAGAATTGGTGGTGCATGATGGTAATAAAAGTTAGTCTGACTTCTAGGTAGTTTTATTATCATGTTTAAATCATCTATAGAAAATGACCACCTTATTGCTTTCATCTGAGCAGATCTCTTCGATCACCCCGCCCTTGGTACACACCAATGCCCAGACACCTGCTTTAAGGTTTTCTTTGAGGCAAACATCAATGTATAAAACTAATTTGGGTGACAAAAGCAAAAGAGCCTGAAGGAAGCAAAGAAGTCAAGTTTACCCCTTCATATCACAGATGAGGAAAGTGAGGCCCAGATAGGTGCATGACTCATATGAAGCCACTGAATTCAGCAATGGCAGAGTTGGATCTGGCATCCAGTTCTCTTGATTCCTGATTGGCCTCAGGGAGAAAGTTCCATCTCACCTACAGCCCAAGACAGCAATGTAGTGGTACCCAACTAAGAAAATGGTACCTGGAGACCCACACGGATCCATCCAGAAACCAACTAGTTGGGGGATGAGGAAGATTTGATTGCTCTCCATTCTTCTGTTACGGAGTCAAATGTTCTCCCTTTACAGGACTTTGGGGATCACTGCAACAATACCTTTCTTTTTACTTCATTCACTGTTTTTTAGTAATACAAAAAAATTTGAATGACCACCTTGTCTTCTGAAGTTCTTATATTTTCTGAAGGGATGTGACGTGTGCGTGTGCGTGCATGTGTGTGTGTTATAGGAAATATAATAAAAATTTAGAGATGTGATCTAAAAACCTAAGGCAACAAAAAGGACAGTGATAGAAAATGAAGATATAGGAAAATAAGAGGAGAATGAACCAGGGAGTGTACCTTGAGAGCCTCTCACTTCCTGCACTACCCTGACATGCAATATTAGATATAATATCAATTGTATTTTAAATATAAACAGGAAGTTTCTTATTTTAAGAAATTCTATGGGGAAGCTTTACTTAATATTTTGAGGAAGTAAAGAATTAGCCCCTCATTTATATACCTTGCATATCCTGGTTTTCATATGTTGATTTTGCTTTATTTATTTATTTTTAATTTTTTAAAAAGATTTATTTACTTATTTTAGAGAGTGAGAGCATGAGTTGGGGGAGTGGTGGGGGGGTGGAAAGAGAGAACCCTCAAGCAGACTCCCCACTGAGCATGGACCCCTACACAGGGCTTGATCGCAGGACCCCAAGATCGTGACCTGAGCTGAAATCAAGAGACAGATGCTCAACCGACTGAGCCACCCAGGCACCCCACGTTGGCTTTGCTTTAAATGAGAATGTCAGCAGAAGTACATCACAAAGGCAGGTAAGGCAACAAAAACAATGTCATGGATCTTGAGATATTTACTATTCATTTACTCAAAGGAAGCAGAGGGAAAACTTTATAAAAAAATTATCTGTGACATTGATCATTTCTACCTTACTCCAAACAATGTGGACTTTGTCAGGAAATACCCTAAGTTTATTTCTAGCCCTTCTACCTACCAGAGTTTTGACAACAATTAAAGAAGGTAGTATTACATCAGCAGCCCTCAAAATGTACCCAATAAATGATTACAGAAGCTGTCCTGGAGTTGAAGATGACTGTGGCTTGGGTCTCCACTAGCTAAACAGAATCTGATGTAACTAAAAGATTTTTGTAACACAGCTCGATTCTTTGGGGGGACAAGAAAGACTACTTCCTCCTGGTGTCCATTTGGTGGTGAGCAATTTTACCCAAGATGCCAATCATTTCTGCTTCTATCATTTTTAATTGGTGAATATTCTTTAAAAAAAAAAAAAAAAGCAACCTGTAGGGGGATACAGAAAAGCTCTTACCTCTCCTGAAGTCCTATGGGCTTCATTTTGAAAGGAGAAGCACAGACAGAGGTGGTAGCTCTGATCTCAGGAGTGTATCGGCCTTGCGGGTCCACAACCACATTCAGCACCTTTGGGGCTTGCTCGGGCTGGACCATGCTGTTGACCGTCTTTGCCTCAGACTGTGCCGGTTGTAACGCAATGGGCGACAGGTGGATCTCCTGGTTTTTCTCTTTATCTTGTCGCAAGGAAAGCTGAAATTTTTCTTTTAATCTGTAAAGAATCTATAGGAGATATACAGGCTTGTTTTTTCACACTGAACAACAAAATATGATCTCCTCCACCCCAACCCAGAAGACAAACTAAAATGGAGGTTTAATGATAATACACCCAAGCAAAGCCTTCTAGAATGATTTCTTAGTTGTGTGGTACTGAGATTTTTCTCAAGAAGGATATAGTTGGTATTTCCAGTTATTAAATAAATATGTCCATGAATCTGGTCCTCAAATATATATTCAAAAGAAAACAGGCTAATTTTATAAAAGTGCCAGATGTCAGTTTGATTCACATGCAAGTTTTTACTCAAAATGACTAAAAGGGAAGGCTGATCGAAGGAATAGCCATGAAATAAGGGCTTATGACATTTTTAGAAATAGACCTCTGCATCCAGTACAACATGTGAGAAGAAAATCTTATAAAATATTAGTGAAAAGGGGCGCCTGGGTGGCTCAGTTGTTAAGCGTCTGCCTTCGGCTCAGGTCATGATCCCGGGGTCCTGGGATCGAGCCCCACATTGGGCTCCCTGCTCGGCGGGAAGCCTGCTTCTCCCTCTCCCACTCCCCCTGCTTGTGTTCCTGCTCTCGCTGTCTCTGTCAAAAAATAAATAAAATCTTAAACAAATATATTAGTGAAAAAATAGTTATGCTATAAATTGTAATTTCTTATGTTGGTAAATATCCACACTAGTCATGTATTAACTTGAATATCTGGTAACTTCTTCAAAAAATTAAATTTAGGGCACCTATCCAAGGATAATTTGGATAACCAGAATTTTATTTTTTACCTCTTTCCCCTTTTAAATTTTTTTAAAGATTATTTATTTATTTATTTGAGAGCGAGATTGGGAGGGGTAGAGAAGCAGACTCCCTGCTGAGCAGGGAGCCCGATGCAGGGCTCGATCACAGGACCCCAAGATCATGATCTGAGCCAAAGGCAGACACTTAACCGGCTGAGCCACCCAGGCGCCCCTCGCCTTTTTAATTTTTAATGCATGTAGGAAAAGGCAAACATATCACTTTCTCCATTCTCAGAGCCCTTTCTGGAATGGCTAATTCAATTTAGAAATGGTAGGATTGTCATTTTTAAACATTTAAAGGTATCACACTGACTTTGCTGGGACACTCTGTGGACCAAATTGTCAGAGAAAAGTCACTGTAAACGATAAACCAGACTAAAGGAGAGAGAAGCGAGTCATTCAGAACTATTTTCGGTGCCCACCTAATGTCACGTATCGTGAGAGGTCCAGAGTATTCTGTTCTGGAGAAAATAAACTGCACCCTGTTCTTATGGAATTAAGGATATGGAATGAAAAAAGTTCTCAGGGATGCCTGGGTGGCTCAGTCGGTTATGCATCTGCCTTCGGCTCAGGTCATGATCCCAGGGTCCTGGGATCGAGTCCCACATCGGGCTCCCTGCTCTGTGGGGAGCCTGCTTCTCCCTCTACCTGTTGCTTCCCCTGCTTGTGCTCTCTCTCTCTTTAATAAATAAATAAAATCTTTTTTTAAAAAAGTTCTCAGTTAAAAAGTATGTCCTTTGAAAGAAGAATAAATGTGAAGAGAAAACGGAGCAGTTTTTGTGACTGAGGAAAAAAATGCATATTGCAAAAAATGCATGAATTCCACACCTTGATAAACTGAAGTTCATGTGAATGAAACCAACAGGAAGAATGTTTCAAATGCATAAGGTCTCAGGAAATATGATACCGGTGTACGTTTCCTGAAAAAAATTTACTCCAAGTCACAAGAAAGATGACTCAAAATTAAGAACTGAAGAACTAGAAATTGTGATAGAAAAGGGAGCTTTGGAATTATGTAAAAATAGGGCGAAAATGAAATTTAATTATGTCTCAGATCCAACATCTCAGGTTATAATAACAAGAGAGAAGTTTGGGCAGAGAGGTAAGAAATAGGAATGACTGTACATTAAGTGACTTTTAAATTAGGGATACGGAGGGAATCGGAGTTTGAATGGTCACTAAAGGTCTTTCTGACCTAATTATACATTTATAAAATCGCTGTCTAGCTGAATAATATGGCTTGCCCAAAGCCAGCAGCCAGCTGGGTCAGACCCAGGCCCTAAGGCAGTTCTGACTCGCAGACCCATGCACTTTCCACCGCCTTACGTTACCTCTGGTGTTCTCTTTGCTGTGCCATAATTCTTAAAGATGAACTCTCAAAGAGTCTGCTGCAGATGTGGTTCTCACCAGTGGGGTTCAACACCACCAAATCGATTTTTTGTGGATTGAAAGCTCTCTTTAAGGAAAAGGACTATGCACATAGGGAGTATAACTAGAAATGCATCTTATGAATTGAACTGCCAGGAGATGAAAAGGAATCCTTATTGTCTTTTATCAGTTCACTTCCTCATAACCTGGAAACTTTTATACTAGTGGTGTTCATTGACAAAAGTAGGGTAAAGCTAAATCTTAAATTTTTGAAAGCGATGGGTGCTAAATATTCCTGTGAGAAATATTACTGCATAAGAAAAAAAAAGATGTCTAATACTAAGTGACAAATCTTCTTACTCTAATTAGACTTGTACAACCTATAGGATAGAAAATATTGAAGATAAATATCCTTACCCAGTGCATCATGCCCTAAGGATTGGGAGGTTTTTAATTTACCGCTTCTCTTCAGTCTCTGTAACCCTCAAAAGGCACTTGGCCACCACTCTGCACAAACAAAACCCACCTTAGAACAGTACCAATCAGAAAACACACATCTGCTAAATTAAATATGTAATTACTAAAAGATGAGGCAACAGAATTTAAGGTGGGATAGCTTTTTATTATTTTTAAATTTTTAGCTTTTTTCATTTTTTAATTTATTACTATTTTTAAAAATATTTGTTTATTTAAGTAATCTCTACACCCAATGTGGGCCTTGAACTCACAACTCCGAGATCAAGAGTCACATGCTCTTCCAACTGAGACAGCCAGGTGCCCTAGCTTTTTATTTCTTAATTTTTTCCTGAATGAGAAGAGAAACAAATACATCTGTGCCTTTACAAAAATATCTTTAATAAAAGATACTGCATATATTATATATTCTAAGTTCTTCACATCTAAATATATGTACATTGGAGCATGTGCCTGCCTGTTTACATTTGGGTTTTGGAGAAGCAGATTTCAAAAATGAAAATGAGGAAGTCAAGGAAATATCAGCCTTCTCGATAGCTCTTGACAGGTCACTTTTATGGTTTTATTGGTGTAGAACAAGCTCTAGTCCAAAGTCCTTCTTTACTTCAAGAGCTTATGTTCTTGATGAAGGACCCTTGTCATGCATTTTACAGTCAACTGTTTACTTCATCTCTGGTGATAGGTCAACTTTTTAATCTACATAGTATGTGTACAGACTGATTTACATCTTTAATTAGGGAAAAGCAGAACCGGGAGAACATATAATGCTTATAAGATACTTTAAAAATCCACGAGAGAGAGATTGGGCTGTCTGGCAAAATGTGGAAAGAACTGAAGACATTGAGACCGGGCAATGGGGCCGTCATCATGGAATTAAATTGTGAGGGAGTCGTCCTCAACCAGTTGGGCGTTAGCCCTTCGGGGGCATTTGGCAACGTCCGGAGCTGTGTTTGGTTGTCATACTGGGGTGTGTGGTGAGGCGCTATCGGCATCTAGTGGGCGAGGCTAGAGATGCTGCTAGATACCCTACAGTGCCCAGGACAGACCCTCTCCCCCCAGTAGAATCACCCAGTCCCAAATGTCAACAGTACCACTGTTGAGAAACTGGGATAAGGGCTCTTAAAAATCATCTGGTATAATCTCCTCATTTCACATTTAGACTCAGAACACTTGAATGACTTCTGGAAGGTTAGAAATAAAGTCTAGAATCCAACTTTCTTGATTTAATGCCTGTGATCTTTCGACTCTACCGTTTCTTCTAAATCCCCACATCTTTCTTCTCAACACCTTTCCCAAAGCCTCTGGAAAAGTGTGTCAGAGATTCTTCTCTGTGCAGATCAAGGTCTGGAGTATAGCATATGCATATTTCTCTCTGTGAACGCACTTTGTTGCAAAGTTCAACCTAAAAGCTTATTATAGCAATGGTAAATCAGTAGCTTTGGTTTTATCTTGTTTGAATCTCAGGATGCAATAAAGTCATTTGGTCATTTGGAAAAGGAAAACAGGAATATTGAACGAGAGAGGAACTGTAAAAGTCAAACTATACCAAGAGATAAAAAATAATAGCACGAAGAAGAGAGCCAGAGGAACACAGAAATGAGAGGAAAGCTACCAAAAAATCCTATAAAGCTCTTTGGCCGCTTATAATTTTCATTTAAAAAAATCTCGTAAGTGTACACCTTAAACTTCCACAATGTTATATGGCAGGTATATTTCAATAAAAAAAAATCTCTTAAGTAGATAACACAAAATATCTGTTTGAGTTAAAATACGTTCCAATTTTAAAATGATGCCATCAACTAACAGCCCATTGTATTTTCTTTACAGTATTTTACAGTTCTGAAAGAGTTCATTCATTCATTTCTTTTAGTTGAGTAGACATGAGTTAATTGCTACTACATTCCAGAAGCAACATTGCAGGTGCAAAGGCAGCACACAACCCTAACTTCTGAGAATGCACAGGCTTCCAGAAGAGACAGATGTGGGAAAATTACACCCAGTAAAAGATAATATAGGAATTTTCATCATCATCCCCTTTGTGGCCCGAAGCAGATGTTCACAAGACAGAATGTGAGGACTTAAAGAAATCACAGTTTGACTCTTTTATACATGGAATCATGGTAAGGAGCCCAGACTTTTAATCCAGACAGATTTGGGTTTGAATTCCAACCCCTCTTCTTGCACTCCCCCTGACATAGGATGTTCTGACATAGGATTTCCTGCCTCTGGATTTCCTTCCTACCAAGAGCATGACTAGAAAAACTCTTTGTATGGCATATGGATGGATGGCTCTTCTACGGGTCCAACATGCCAGAACTTTTGTTGACCCAAACAGCTGTTTTCATGTATTTTCTAAAATTGCTTTCTGGAAGCGATCTGGCTTGTAGACCTCTTTACCTATATCGCATAAATGCCTCTGCACTTCGTAATAAACCTCTCAGTACATTGGAAGGTTTAATTTCGGTGATAAATGGTGTCCTTTCCATTGTTGATTGAAGTTTAATAACGAATTCTTCTCAGTAATAAATTTCCTCCACCTAAAACAGACTGAATGGATTGGAAATTGCCCACACATTTTTTTCTTGGAAAATCGTATTTGTCTATTTATTGCTCCACCTACTCTAGATTCACATTTGAGAGGTGCTAAATAAGTCACACATTTGAAAATGTCATGCATGTCTAATTTTATGCCTGGCAACATACAATTTTTTTTTTTATTTTAAGGAAAGTAAACAATATGCCACATTTCAAAAATTTTGCCAAGCCTTATGTTATTGTTACATAGCACACGTAATCCACCATCACAGCAATCTACCTATAAAATTTCATCTTTAAAAAATGAAAAACCATATGCTTTTCGTTTCTGTGGTATGTCGGAAGACTGGATGCAAATAATGGCATTTGATCTCTCATAAATATAATTTTTGCCAGAGGGAAAATTCTGTGCTATAGCTTTTCCTCTGCCACGGAATCAACAAAATTATGGGAAATAGAATCAGAATATTACGTGTTTGAAAATTGCAGAAGTGATAGCGTAACTATTACTGAGAAAGCCAAGTTAAAGGACTTACTTTAAATCTAGGTTATTATCAAAAACACTTGAACATTTACACAGGTAAACTTATTTTGGAGAATCATATCTGACAAGTCCCTAAATGTGAACTGTTGACTTGTCAATGGTATAGCTGCATCAGATAAACTTAACTTCATCTTAATACTGTCTAGTAGGTAGTATTTGTCTATCTTCCTAAGTACTGCTGGTTTGTCTGTTAACTTCTTAAAGTGACCTTTTCTCATTAAAGTTTAAGACTGTGGGGCGCCTGGGTGGCTCAGTCGGTTAAGCGTCCGACTCTTGTGGATTTCAGCTCAGGCCATGATCTAAGGTCGTGGGATCAAGCGCCAGGTCGGGCTCCACACTCAGCATTGAGTCTGCTTCTCTCTCCCTCCACTCCTCCCGCAGCTCATATAAATAAAATAAAATCTTAAAAAAAAATTTAAGGTTGTGTTTGAAAGATATCATTCTATTTCTTTCATTCATTCAAGAGCGACTGGAACGCACAACGAAAGAGTTTCTTCTCTCACTACTCCCACCCCCAACTTGTTCCTCTCCCAAGAAATGGGAGCTCCATCACCCAGGTCCTCAGCCAAATACAAGAGGAATCAACCTTAATTTCTTTCCTTCCTTCTCCCTGAGAATCAGTACACAGCAAGTCCTGTTGTTTCCATCTGCAAATAAATCCCAACCGTTCACTTCTCCCATCTCCACCGCCATCCTTACTCTGGGCCATTATCATGTTTGTCATCAGGCTAACACAATGGCTTCCAGAAGAGTCCTCCTGCTCACACACTTCACCTTGTGCTCTGTCTCCAACCACTCTCCACCAGCAGAGCACCTGCTCTGGTAAATACATGTCCAATCATATCAAAGCTCTGCTTAAAAGTTTCAGCTTGCACCCTTCTTGTTGAACCCAGAGAGACTAGCTTCTTTATGCCCCAGCACTCCACCCACCATATCCTCTGCCTGCGAGGCCCTCTCCCCATATTTTCACATGTCTTGGAAGTCTCAAAGTGCTCTGTTCCACTCACTCACTATTATGGTATCTCTTCGCGGCATTGAATAATATTTGATTTTAAAAAGAAATGACTAGATTTTATTTTTGAAGAGCAGTTTTAGGTTTATAGAAAAACAGCAGAGAGTACAAAGTTCTCATATGCCCCTACTCCCCTACTTCCCTAGAAAATTTGCCCCATTAACATTTGGCATTAGTGAGGTTGCATGTGTTACAACTGTTGAGCTAGTATTGATATGTTATAATTAACTGAAGTCCATAGTCTAGATTAGGGCTCACTCTTGGGGTTGCAAATTCTATGGATTTTAAGAAATCCATGATGTCATGTATTCACCACTACAGTGTCATACAGAATAGATCCACTGCCCTGAAACTCTGCTGTGCACCACCTATTCATCTCCTCCCCTGCAACCTCTGGCAACCACTGATCTCTTCATTGTCTCTATGGTTTTGCCTTTTCCAGAAGGTCAAATATTTGGAATCATACATATGTCCACTATTTGATTAAAAAAAATACTAACTGAATTATTGTCTGTGTCTGCCTCCAGAGTATAGGCCCCACAAAATAGGGACCCCATCTGTCTTGTGCTCTCCTTGGCCACAGTACCAACCACAGGTCCACAGTGGATCCTCTGCAGGAATCTGTGGATTGAATGAGTGGATGAATCTACCTGCCAACCCACTAGAGAGCAATCACCTATACTTTTGAAACGTTCCTTTCTCGATTTGTTCCAGTAACTTTGGAGCAGACGTATCTGGGTTTCTGGCTTTTACATTGGTGCTTTGCAGAAATTGGGAAAAGAAGCGTTGTTCTCTGGTCTCGAGTGGTTGAGAGTGTGGCCAGGACAGCTCCTTTGCCCCAGGCGACCAGTATGTACTGTAGGGATTTCTCCAGTCATGCTGGACATGCAGGGGCTCCTTGAGTTAGAGAGGCAGATCTTGGATCGTGTGCTACAAGGTAAGAGCAAACTCTGCTCTGCCACTTCCCTCCTTGCCTCTGCTCTGCTCAATCTTATCCCTTTCCTGCCTGAACAATCTCTACTTTGAGCACCTGCTACCCCTTTCTATTCTCCTCTTCCTCACATCTTTTCATCTGTGAAGCAGAAAAACACTCTAATTGTGACTGATGAGAGAGAAAACAGCACTCAAGATTTCCTGTATTAAGGAAAAAAAGAACCACATATTTTAAAGTGCAATTAACTATAACAAAAAACCCACACCTTCTAAAATACTAAAAAATGTCCCATGGTCTCTACCACAGTTTCCCTAAAATCTCCAACTTTGTCTCCTTAAATTTTTTCCCCCTAATCTCCACCATTTAATATACAAAAACTGATTTTCTTACTCAATTCTTAAATTCTTCTTTTGTTTATTGTGTCACAATTTTTAGAAATCTTCTACAAATCTTCTCATAGGAGACAGATGCCTCTGAATTCATGATGATGGAAGCTTGAGGACGTTCTTACTACTTCCTACATTTAGACTCGAGGAAATATACTCATCATCACCCTATTCAAGGCCTTAATTGTTTTATATCCTTCAAGTTTACACCTACACAGCCTCTGTCTTTCCCACCTAACCCCTAATCTTTCTAACATAAACTCCTTCCCAGCAGGGGAAGCAAAAATGAACAAAACCCAATAAGACACTTAGCAACATTGTCGGTTGTGGAAAGAGTAAGTAATATGTCTTTGAGGGGACATTTAAAAGCTAAGAAGGAATATTTTTGAAAATGCACACAATTAAAAAGAACACAGCACAAAGGAAAAAAATATTAAAACCCATTTGTAAACTTCAAATATTTTAAATTACATCACAGAATTTTCAAAAGAATAGGAAAATCTTACCACTGTATTTGAAAAGTATCTTTTAACTCATTCAATACCAAATAGCACTGCCTAGTTTAGTAGGTTTATTCTGTGTTCCTTTTTTTTTTTTTTAAATTAGAAAAATACTTTTAAAGGCTACACATTTGTAATTTGTAATTTAGGGAGCTATTTGCAGTGTATACTTTTATACCTTTTGTATTCATTCACCTAAAAATTTAGTTGACAGTGAATTATCTGGTCTTTGAGCCTATAATCATCTCCTTTTAATGCCTAGAATTTTGTAGAATGCTATCTAGGTCCTTTAAAAATAAGGAAATCAACCACTACTAAAGACATCTTGCCCCTAAGACATGTTTCTTTTTCAAATTTTTCCTGAGTTCCACAAAAATGATATAAAAGAAAAAATAAAGTAAGCCCAAAGTGTGCCCATAAGACTTTACTGACTTTGAGGGCTCCAGTGACCTGGGTAAATCACCTCCTAAAGCTTCATCCGAGGATGATCAAGTTACTAACAGCCTCATTGCAATTACAGCCTTATTCTGCAGGTCAGAATCCGTAATTCCATAGGTTTTCCTTAGCTATCACTCTGCTGTCAGATAGGAATATTCTGAATCTAACAGGATCGTAGCCTTGCTTCTGTTCCCAGGCTTTTCAGCATTCATTTGAATGGCAGTGTATCCAATATTAAGCAGTGGCTCGATAAGGGATAAAATATAAAGAAGCAAACTTACCATCAAACACGTTACTATAATAACAAAGATGCTGAGAAAAATGACAACAGCATAAAATCCTTCTTTGCTCCAGATTTTGTCCGCTTCATGCTGCCCTTGTAAAACATTTTTCTTTAAAAGCAAAACAGAAAGTCCGACGTTAAATGAGAGTTTGAGGAGAATGGCGTTCTTATCAGAAACTAAACATATTTTTAGCTTTATTCCATTCAGTGTAGTAGAACACACCTACATCCGCCGCAGCCAGAGCTGCTTCTCCAACTGATCTAAGACAAGGACTGCCATCCGTATACATTAAGAGATGATTTTATCTCCTGTCCAGGAGCGAGCATGCCTGACATGACACACTGGGTCCTGGACTTCTTAAACATCCTTCCACCAGTCTCTTTTGGAAATTACCTGGTTCATAAAGTAAAAGAGTTCTGTTCTTTTCTGTGTTGAGGAAATTTTTTCTGAGGCATTCCTTACTCTGTTTTCAGTCCCCTCCCACAACACCAACACCCTGGCTTACGTGCAGCTCTTGACTTTTAAACAAAAGTGAAACAGGTGCAAACAAAATCTCATGATGCCTTTATAAACAGAGCAACAATGTCGGCATCATTTCCTTCTTCTTTTTTTTTTCTTTTTCATCAAATCTTTTTTTTTTCCCTTGAAATGCAGTCCACTTTGTCAAAATCTGATTAAATTTCACCTCAATCATACAAATTGTTAGGATATTATATTTTATTTAAGGCAACAGAGAACATCAAAAGTCCAGAACTGTTTGGTGAAAAAAGGTAAAATAAATAGTTTTATTTATGCTTTTAAAATTTTTTGGCTTACTACTCAGTGGGTGAAAGGGTAGAGAGGAAGCTGAATACAATGTGAATGAATGTCTTAGTTTTATACCTACTAGTATCACATCTTAGAATGCAATTAAATTTTATAATTCAGTGAAATTTATAGATTTATAGTTAAGGAAACTTTACCTTGAAACCAAATGGTCTATGGTTAGGAAAAACATAAATGCTGAATCAAGTCAAATGCTCCCGCGCCTCTAAAATTCCATTTTGTTAAAGTATGCTTTTTATTTCCTTTAGTGAGAATACTTGTCTGTCCTTGGATCTTGTCTCCAACAATTAAGAAAGACTTGAGCAACAGGATATTGCATGATGAGAAACCACATGGAGAGAGGTTGTGGAGAATGAGAGGTTATCATGCTCACACCAGTGGCAGATGAGCGCCCAGCTTAATGTGACCACTGGGGTGACTTCAGCCTGTACTACGTGGAAGATCCACCTAGCCGATCCTCGTCAACCCACAGGATCATGAGAAATCAATAGCTGTCTCAAAAAAAAAAAAAAAGCCTTGAACAAAAACCTGTCCTTGTAGGTGTCTGAACTTTGAAATCATTCTTATTTTTTCAAGACTTTTTAAAAAATAAAATACATTCAATGTTTGTAAATTAGACAAAAAGAATATTTGCCTTAAAAGAAACTACTTTTATCCTGGAACTCAAGTGAGTGCTGCTGGGGACTTGAACAAAACAGAACAGAAAGGATCTTAGAGTTCAGTTGTGATTATAAAAATGACTTGAAGGAGTTGAGTTTCTATTTCCTTTGCTTATAAAACACTGATATGCTCACCATAACATCTTGCCTACTTTTTAAGACACAGATTCATAGATACAATAAATGACTTGTATATCTTTTATTAAGATTTTATTTATTTATTTAAGAGAAAGAAAAAGCGAGAGAGCGAGAGAGAGTGAGAGAGAGAGCGAGCATGATGGGGGTGTTGGGGGAGTGAGAGGGAGAGGGAGAAGCAGGTTCCCTGCTAAGCAGCTCAATCCCAGGACCCTGAGATCATGACCTGAGCTGAAGGCAGACGCTTAATCGACTGAGCCACCCAGGTGCCCTGATTTGTGTATCTTTTAAAAACATGTAAGTGTTAAGTTGAGGGAGAATCTGAAAATACTTGCTCAATGACATGATTAGAAACCAAGTATCTGGGGCGCCTGGGTGGCTCAGATGGTTAAGCTGCTGCCTTCAGCTTAGGTCATGATCTCAGGGTCCTGGGATGAAGCCCTTGTTGGGATCAAGCCCTCGTTGGGCTCCGGGCTCAGTGGGGAGTCTGCTTCTCCCTTTCCCTCTGCCTCTCCCCCTGCTTATACTCTCTCTCTCTCTATCACTCTGTCTCAAATGAAAAGAACCTTAAAAAAAAAAGAAAGAAAGAAAAGAAACTAAGTATCCTGCTGGAAAGGAAGTCTTGGATTCAAGTGGTGATTTGTCTTTTACTCTTTGACCTTAGCCAGATCGTATTTAATACAACGCCTCTATAAACATGGCTGGAAACTAACAGAAAAGAAAACTCTTGCAGAAATCAGGTATAAACACGGAAATGAGTTTTTTACAGGCAACTAAATAACATCTATTGCTTGCCATAAAAGCAAACTAGTTAAGCCTTCAAGTAGGCAGCCTATACTTGTCAAATTTAAGTATGAGGATAGGAGCTTTAGTTCATGTAAAATTTGGATAAAAAGGGGTGGTTAGGTGGGTGGAAAGAGATTTTGTGTTCCTAACCTGATTTGCTTCATTTCTTTTTCTTTTTTCTGCTATGGTTCGGCACCTCCTGGAATATCAACATGTTCCTTTCTGCTTAAGACAAATCTGTTTTGTTTTCTCTTTTAACCAAAGCGGTGTTGAGGGAAGAATTAACCTCCTACCCCCACACCCCCACTCCTAGTTAGAAAGGCACATGTTTTGAACTCCTAGAACTTAGTCACTGCACTTTCTTGGTAAATAGATTTCCTTCTGAGTCATGCTATTACTCTGAGCACTACTATATTTGTACAGAGATCTAAAAAATTGATAAGGACAAGGTAATAAATGGAGAAGTTTATACTTAAGATCCCACAAGTCAAAAGAATATAACCCACATGAATCTCCAATCTAACCTTTACATAAGGGGCTGAAGGTTCAATAATGCAGAGGCTCCACGGTCAGGTCAAGCCCAATGCCACTGTATCATCTTTACCTCTTATTCTATAGCTACCTCTCTATATCGCTTTGCCCTTTAACTTTGTTGCAGTAAAAAAAATTGCTGGGTTTTGTTTTAGTCTATAACTTAAAATTTGGGCAGTTTCCTCTATCCATACACAGCTTCTCTATATCCTGTTTAATAATTTGATGCACTATAGTTGTCTTGTTGGTTTAAAAAAAAAAAAAAATCTGATCCCAAGTGGTGAGAGACATCCCAAATGCTAGGAGAGATGATACAGAGGCTTTAGGAGCTAAATCTTTTGAGAAGAGATGAGGCACACAGAATAAGAATGAAATGGAAATATTGTAAATTACCTGGTTAACTGATTGAATTAGGCAGATAAATGAGGTGTATCCTGCAATAATGTAATTTTGTTCGATAAATGCCCAACTTCCACTGGATTGTGCACAAAGTGAACAATTCATTCTGAATGATCTGACACATGTTAACATTAATTGCATTCCTCCTCTGCATTGTAGGGCCAGGACGGTAATTCTTTAAATCCCTGGCTCATGTTCCAGTTTCAAGGAACGAACACTCACCATACTCATGGGTTATGGTACATGTTTATTTGGTGTGTTTTTTTCTCTTTGGAAATACTCCACGAAAGTTATCATTCAGCACATTGGCCTGTCATTTAAAGAAGGTACTTTCTCCTTTGAAACATAAGATCCATTCCAGAGGGAATAATTGGCAATTAAACAACAATGGCAAATCCTAAAATCATTTTTTTATTATCAGTGCAGAACTTACTGTTTCAATAGATTTTTAACTGATAAATTAATTAAAAATCTTAAATTAATTTATAAAAACACTTAAAAATAGAAGCTAAAATAATGAATTTCACTTTATTTCCTTAAGCTTTAACTTAAGAGGCAACGGGAAGTCTAGTGTCATCTTTACAAGCATCTTATAACAAAATAATTTCAAAGTGCCTATATTGTTCTAGGTCATAAAAATATATAAAAGAAATAATGTCTTTTCTCCCCAAAAAACTTAGTTTCAAAGTGAAAAAAGATGAATAAACAAAAGTAATTCTCTGTGTGGTATTTTTGTTTCCCAAGAGTCATTTCTAATTAAAAAAACAAAACAAGCAAATAAAGAAATGGCAACAACAGAAAACACATCCTTCCCTGAAAGTAACTAATATAAGTTTAGAAATGGATGCTTTGAGACATCATTCACGGTGTTCTATAATCCAGATAAAGGATGAAAAACCAAAATACCAGTATTCTTTTTTTTTTTCTGTTAATAAACATGTTAGTTACTACAGCACAGCTATAATTTGGGGATAAAAATGTGAAAGAATGGGTTGAGGCGTAAGTTGTTATCACACATTAATGACAAAGATGAATAAAGACATGGGGAAACTCACAGAACACCATCACCATCTTAAGCAAATATCAACAAATGCTTTCGCAGTGCCCCTGTGGACTATATGTGGCTGAGGCTCCCCATGACAGTAGACGGTTTTCTTCTGTTTGTGCATTAGAGCTTCAGGTCAGAGGGTAATGCTGGGTCCATTCTAGAAGTGCCTGAACAAAAGCCTCAAACAATCCATCTGTCCTTAATGAAATGCCTCTTATACCCAATTAAAAAACTTCCTAGTCTCCTGTAATGTAATATTTTCTAGATTTCCTAGATTTCTAAATTCCTACATTTTCATAAAATATATCACATTTTGACCATCAAATAAACTTCCATTATTAAGTGCAGTACAGACCTGTGGTCTATTGTGGGTTAATAGTTCTGTGACAAGCTCCTCATCTTCACTGGGCTGAGGTGTGTTGAGTTTTTTTGTTTGGTGAGCTTCTTTGGGTTCGCAAATCCGGATGACTCACTAAGCTGCCATATTCCTTTTAAAGCATTCAGAAGAGCATTTAAACTCAGAATAAAGCAACAGGGAGGAATGCTTATAATATTCGCTGAAAGCTTACAGGAAGAAGAATAAATTTACCCAATGGTCTTTTTCAAATGTAAAGAATTGTCCTGAGTAAGATAGTGTGCAAGGCAGCTGGTCGAGGGCCTAGATATGGAAATGGGGTTTGGTTTGATACAAAAGGGAGGCCCTTCAGAGTCCCATGCGGTTAGGGCCAGTGAAGGGTTTGGGTGTTGCAGCTCATATGGACCCTTTTCCCTGGCATCTCCGAAGCAGGAGGTGGCCTCTTCTTCCTCAAAGAGCCTATGGCTCAGTGTGGTAATGTTACCTATATCTCCTCCTGTATTCTCCTTAGCTGCTTACGTCTTATTTGCCCTACTCGAATATAAACTCACTGAAAGCAAAAATCATATTTTATTTATTTCTTTGTTTGTTTATTCATTTATTTGTCCAACTGTGGATATTACCTAGCACAATGCTTGGCTGTTCGTGTGCCCATTATATTCCAGGTACTGAATGAAGGGACCGAGAGAACAGATCAAACGAAATGGCACATGCTCTCAGGGAACCTACTGTGTGGAATAAGGGATTTTTGCACTAAGCTCAATGAAAACACAGAGCAGGCACGCACATGTGTGAAGGCACAAGAGAGGGCTCTGCTAGATAGTAGACTGACCTTGAAATGTGAAAGTTGTACAGATGGATCAACATATGCACAAGCATGGAGGGAAGAGACAGTATGCGGGCGTCCTCATACCTACTGAGTCTGGAGATGCTGAAGCACAAACCAGGACGATGTTGTTCAACCATTAGAAAGCCCCGTGCACAAAGGACCTTATCTCAGATTAAGAAATCCAGACCTGAGACCTGATTCTATAGCATTAGGAAGCCGGAGAAGAATCATGACGTTTGGAGGGCACGGCCAGATTTGCTTTTAGAACGAAAGAGAGAAAAATCCCATGTGTGTGCGGTGGGGGGTGGGCAGGGCACAGAGAGGACAAGGAGGGGAGCAAAACTTATGCAGCAAGAGCAGCTGGAGGTGGTTGTTACAGGCATGGTTCGATGATGAAATAAATACGTTTTCATTCTGCCAATAAAAAAACTCTCCTGCATTCAAATTGTATTTGGTGCCTACTCTAGGTGAGGATTTCCACACATATTTCTAAAATTTAATTCATATTTCAAGTCTATAAAATAAAGACTATACCTTTTTTTTTTTTTTTTAACTAGACCCGTTTTGGAAAGGAAGAAACTATGAGGCTCAGAGAGGCCGAGACTATGCAAAGACAGACTTAATCTCACAGAGATTAAATCACCTGCCCAAGGTCACACGCATCTTAAAGTGCCAGCTTTGGGATTCAAATTCAGTCTTGTATCAAAGATTTTTATACCACACCTGTGATATTTGCTGAAATGAGAGGCATTGTGCTTTCCTGCAAAGGGGAAGAGACTAGGAATCAAGATGTCTAAATGTCAACTGTTGTTTTATACTCCACTTGCTTGTCACTTTGCTGAAGTCACTTCATGTCAAATGGGCCTTACTTTCTGCATCTATAAAATGTTCACATATGTTCCCTTGAAGTCTGATTCTATGATTCTGTGGATTTAATTACATATATTTAGGATGATGATCATTCTAGAGAGTTTGTTACAGTGGGATGAAGCAGAAGTAAAAAAAAACCAAACAAACAGGGACTGAATTTATTCAGGAGTGAGGATGGTGGAGACGGTGGGGGCAATTTAAAAAGTGTCAAAACTAGAAAACACTATGAAGACTCTAACCATAGTTTTTAAAATTAGGTTCCTCGGAAAACAAAACAAAGCACACAAACAAAAATACATTTCCAATTAATTCCAAGGTTTTGGACAAAGGTGAGTATCTGGTGATCATTTCGACAATGAAGGCAGTGAGGAGTATACCTGTTACGGAAGAAAGATATCAGGATGGTTTGTCTTTGACACTTCAGTTTCAAGCAATCAACTGGCAAATATATTCAAATGGTTTCTCTTCGACACAGTTTACTGGGTAAGTCAAAATAATATACAAGGCCAAAAAGATTTAGAGAAGAAAGTGTCTCGGAGTGGAACTTTGATGTGAAGTAAATTTCCTTAAGGAATAAACATATGAAGTATGAAGATCTGAGAATTCTGACCCTTAGGGAGATTTTTATTATCAAATAACACACAGTAAACAGCTTTCATTTTAACGCCTCCTGGGATCGAGTTACCATGTCATGTGAACTGTGCACATTTCTAAATGAAATAGTCCATGAACAACATACCTCAGGGGAGACTTCTATAATTCCAAATTGGGATAAACTTTGATGTAAAACATTTATATTAAGTGAACGCAGCACTTCCTCAGACGGCAGAGCATCTGAAGTTCCTGCTTTTCGGTTTATAGGAGACACAAATAGTTCAACATTGTTCTTCCTTCCCTAGTAAAAGCAGATTATTTATGTATGTTAATAGACATTTTAAACAGCTTTGGGAAATATTTTCACCTTTTATCTAGAATCATTAAAGAAAATTAGAACCCTAGAAGCTCCAAAGGCTTCTTGGAAATCATATTTGCTAGTTATCTGGCACACTTAATAGTTTCAGCCCGAAGCCTGAAATCTTCCAACGGCTTTCTTTCAAGATTTGTAACTTTATATTTCATTGGATGCTGGTTTAATTGCCACTCCATATTGTGATTTTTGAAATACATCATTCAGACGTTCCTAGGCTAATTGTGTTGAAAGAAGCATTTAAAAATCAAATGAATTAAATAAAACCTGATATAACAGTACAATTATTAGACATCACACCACTCCATATAGTTTTCTTACAACTTGTATCAATGCGAAGGCTGGACTAACTACGGAAGCTGATGCTAGATGAGCTTTGAAGTTGCTTCCCTGATCCTGTCCCTCACCTCAAGTATATTATACTTTTAAAAATCTATCCTTGGGAGGGGGCGCCTGGGTGGCTCAGTCGGTTAAGCATCTGCCTTGGGCTCAGGTCATGATCCCAGGGTCCTGGGATCAAGCCCCGCATCGGGCTCCCTGCTCGGCGGGAAGCCTGCTTCTCCCTCTTACTTTCCCTCTGTTCTCTCCCTCTCTCTCTCTCTCTCAAATAAATAAAATCTTAAAAAAATTAAAATAAAATCTATCCTTGGTAGAAATGCATATGCTGTGCAGTAATATCAAGATACTTTCCTCTTAGTATTACCTGTTAGTACTATTATGTCATTAGCTGAAATGGAAACAGAGGATTTCTTACCATAAATGGCTGATACGCCACATACACACAAAAAACCAAACACCACACAAAAATGACATTGTCACTGACAGATCCTCCTTTACAACTTACACAGTGCACTTATAGAGGGAATTGTTGTTGGTCTTTTCTTTTTGAAACATGGAGTTCTGTCATGCTAGAAAATGTTCTTTCAATGCAATTTATCAGAAGTCCAGCCAGGTATAAAATGCAGTATCGAGCTCGGTTTGGCAGCACATATACTAAAATGCGGTATCAGTGTACTAGCAATCCAGAAAAAACATTTCCGGGGACACCTGGGTGGCTCAGTCATTAGCGTCTGCCTTCGGCTCAGGTCATGATCCCAGGGTCCTGGGATCGAGTCCCGCATCGGGCTCCTTGTTCAGCGGGGAGCCTGCTTCTCCCTCTGCCTGCCGCTCCCCCTGCTTGTGCTCTCTGACAAATAAATAAAAATCTTTAAAAAAAATAAAGTTTAAAAAATCCCATTTGTGTATTTGCAGGGGACATCAAACAATGACTAAATATAGCATAATGCTGATGTAAAACATGTTTATAATAATTTAAATAGTTTCTGACCTAATAACTACAATGGTAGGAACAGATCACTTGTTTTGTGCCTGACACACTCCTGAGTACTTAAATCTGTTATCTCATTTAATGCTCAAAACACCTCCAGGACATAGGTATGATGGTTATCTCTATTTTGCAAATGAAGAAACATAAGTGGCTTGCCTAAGGTCACACAGCTGGGATATGGCCAAGCTGGTTCTGTCTGTCTGTCTCCGAAGCATGCGCTCTTAATCACCGTGCTCGGCTGCCCTTGGTATCATCACAGCTTCCCCTGTTAGAATAACTGCTCTTAGAAACAGACATATATAAATGCCACTAACATTCTCTAAGGATGAGCATATACCTCCCTGGGTGTGGCAAATCTCTTATCCCTACAAAGAGGCATTATGCTCATTAAATCTATGCACCTAAATGTATATCTAAGGTATCTAAGTACACATACACAAGTTAGGTCTAGATCTAAGACACTGATAATTCCTGTGTCTTCTCACTTGAGCCAGCTATGCCCTGGATAGAAATAACCAAATTAACTCTTTCGGGATTTTGGGGAATGTTGTATTTACTCTTCAACGGTCCTGTGTTAAAAACTTTCGCGGTTTATTTATTAATTTTTTAAGCTAATTTAGTCCCAAGAAGTAGTTGACTCACAGAATAAAAGTTATTATGGGGCCTGAAAGAACTCATTCTCCACACACAGGCAAAATGAAGAGAAACAAAAGCTCTAAACCAAAATAAAAAGCAAATTCTTCTCCATAGCTGAACGTGTGGATACTGATGAAAGAGAAAGATGAGCTCAAGCAGGAGCATCAGAATTTACAGCAAGGAGAAGATACAGTAAGATGTGAGATGATCCCAGAGTCCCTTCTCAGAGGAACCTTAGGTGATCAGCTGTTTACAAAGAAAATCCTATGATTTGAATTTGCCTTTCATTGACCTTTGCTCACATCCACCTTCACGTGCAGATGGGAGCATGCAGTTGGATGACATCAAGGTTCCCAAACACTGAGGGAAGGGGAAAGAAATAATGTGGGGGATTGACAGGTAGGTCTAAACTGGGCCTCTGCAAAAGATCCTTCAGTTTTACCTCGTCCCCACCCGAGCTACCCAATCTAAGTGTTCTTGTGACTTTTCAGCATTATCTATTCTTTTTTTTCTAGTTTTTTTTTTTTTTTTTTAATTTTATTCATGATAGACAGAGAGGCAGAGACAGAGGGAGAAGCAGGCTCCCTGCTGAGCAGGGACAGGGACACTCCCCCCCATGTGGGACTCCATCCCAGGACCCTGGAATCACGACCTGAGCTGAAGGCAGACGCTTAACCGACTGAGCCACACCCAGGCACCCCAGCCTTATCTATTCTTGCATTCCATTTGGGCTGCTATCCTTAAGGATGGGTTCTTCTTTACTCTTTATTTGAAATCCTCTGCCTTGTGCATTCATTATCCTTCATCCTGATACACTTGAAGGGTTTTAATAGTTACTGTCTGGAGACAGAATCTTCACTGATACAGAAGCTTTCACTCTTAGGGAGAATATTTTGGAAGTACTGTGAGATAAGTATTTTCGGCCCCTCTAGTCACACCTATCAAGGTAGTAGCTAGCCTTGAACTATGAGAGGGTCGACAAACTTTTTCTGGAAAGGGCAAGCCAGCAAATATCGTAGCTTTCAATTTAGCCAAAAATCTGTCGCAACTACTCAACTCTGCCACTGTAGCAGGAAAGTTGCCATGGACAATCTGGAAACAAATGGTGTGGTTTGTTCCAATAAAACTTTCCTTGCACAAACAGGTGGCTTGCCAGATTTGGCTCATGGGCCATAGAACTATAGCATGGGTATTCTTTATTATCGAAGCCTTCAATAAAAATCAAAGTTTGTACTCTGGGAATGCAAAATGTAGGCATCTTACAATGAGGCGGTTGATGTGCACTTGCTGGGGTAAGATCCCTAAAGCTGCGGCCACTCCCTGGCGGAATATCCGAAGCAAGGTTATGTTCAGTCTGCTTACATCCATTTGCAGTGTCTGAAAAATAAAGGAAAAAAAAAAAAAGAAATCAAAATTACGATAAATCTGTCGTTCAAGACATTCAGTTCCTGACTGATGACCGGCCACAACAATTTCTGTGACTGATAAATTCATACTCATGGTGCTTTAGGGCATTTTTAGTGGAGATAAAATTATAGGGACATTTTATGTGAAATTTTAAATGATGTTAGTCAAAAAGATGGTGCGATTTATCTAGTCATAATAAATAATGCAAATGACTAATCAGTTCCTGAGGAACATCACTGAAATGTGTCTTGGTCTTTAGTTTCAGTCCAGAGGACAGAATGGGATATACGGCCAACTACACTTCAGTAATCCAAGCCTTAGGACATCTTTAATTTGTGTTAACACACAGTCACATGCTGTGTAAGTTCCATAATGCCAGACTTTCCGTTCCTCTATATGGTGATGTGCTGCCAGTCCAAGCCAAAAGAACTAGATGTGAAAATGCATTTTCAAACTCTGCTAAAGAAGCCCATGGTACTGATAATTTGGTCTAAGGTAAACAGTTGTTATTCACAAGAGTGTGTGTGGGCACACACTCTTAATTTTCAGGTTATTTTGGAAAAAAGACAACTAAATACTTAAAAATTCCTAAAGCACAAATCAAGTTATAAAAGTTAGAAAATTAATAATATAGCCTTTATTGAAGCCATGGGTGCTGTTACTACATTTAAAGCATGAACTAGTTAAGGTATTTTCAAAAATGCCTCAGAATCATTTGAGCTAGATGAGAGATGGGGAAACCAAATCTTTATGCATTTCTTGTATTTGTATTTGATAATGCTTACTTCAACTAACTTGACCATAGCTGGTAATCAATGACTGCTGGATGGTTGCAATAGCATCTATTCTATGAAGTAAAGCACACTTCCATGTGCATACTTCTCTGATAAAGAGATTGCTTTTAAGCATAATCTACTGTGGTATAAAAACTCTCAGAGGACCTTTTCACAGTTTGTTGTAAAAGGAGAATGGAATTGCTTTTGAGAATGTATTGTTTTTTAAGGAAACATTACAGCTTCTATACATAAAGTTAGTACAAAATAAGTGATTGGAAACTGGACCAAATGCTCAATGCTACGGGAATCAGAAAGAGTTGAGGAGGTCAAAGGAGGTAAATGGTTCCCAGTCAAAATGGCAGACCCAGCTGAAGCTCCAGAATGCTTTTATACCTTAGGATCTTTTAATGTTTGCATTGGGTCAGGGGTCATAGAGGTTGATCATGTTAGGAAGCTGGAATTGGACTCCTTGCAAACAACTGAGATCCAGAAAAGGGCACAGCCATTTAAAAACTCTAGCTAATGGCCCAATGATAAGGTATAACTTGCTTCTGGAGAGGTACACATACACAAGTTAGGTCTAGATCTAAGACACTGATAATTCCTGTGTCTTCTCACTTGAGCCAGCTATGCCCTGGATAGAAATAACCAAATTAACTCTTTGGTTATTACCAAATACCCAATGATAAGGTATAACTTGCTTCTGGAGAGGGGGAAAAGAGAATCATGTTGGGGGTAGATAGAAAAGCTACATCAACGCCATCAGTGATACTTTTTTTTATTAAATAAAAACCATCAACTAGTACATAATTGTCTGTTATATTATTCTCTGTACTATTCTATAGACTAATATTCTTTCCAGTATAAAACAACATAACTTAATACCTAAAGTAAGACTTGAGCTCAACCCTGAGGGATGAGTTGGATTTGGAAATGCAGTAATGAGGAAAACATTATACTTTCAAGCATGCTTTATGTTCTATGGAAAGATGCTTTATGGAAAAATCCAAGAGCTAAGAAAAACTCAGTCCACCTGGTGGTTCTGAGAAACAGAGGCTTCCTTTTGTCCAACAGTTTCCTTTTGGCTCTGCAAGGCTGTGGAAGCTGTCAACAGATGTGGGATATTGCACTGGAGACTTTACTCCTCTCCTTTTGTATGACCAAAGATGGGTTCCTCTGTTACCACAAATGCTGATTAAGAACCACTGACTCCTGGCTCACCCCCAGTGTTTGTCAGGCAGGGCAAAGAGGCAGGCACTGCTCCTGATCCCCACGGGCAGGATTTGGAGCCAAGAGTCGATGCTGGGAACTGAGAGTCAAGGGGGTTGTATACACACTTGAGAACTCAATTCCCAGGGCCATGATTAGCTCGAAGCTTGTAACTGAGGAAACGGTATTAAAGTCTAAGTTCCTCAGATTAAAATGGCAAATGGAAGTGAAATGGGAAGTCAGGATTAAAAATCATTCAAAGTGGCAACTTTCCAAGAAGGCCAAAACTGTGCACTTGAAACAGAAATGTAGACTACCTAACTAAAGTGAAGAAGTGAGCTGAAATAATTGGGTCAGGGGTTTGCAGTCATCTGGCTCATTGCATCAAAACATTTGAATAATTTGCCTCAGTTCTCTGCTTGCCTGAGAAAAGTTGGCATGTATTTCTGACTATTCCCCATAAAATGGTGATGCTAAAATGAAGTACAAAAAAGTAAATATATATTTGAGGGTCTAACATGGGCCAGACATTCTATATGAGCACAACTGAAGAAAAACAAAGGATCCTAGACAAAATGAGAATTTTATTTCGGAGAAAATCAAAGTATATGAATTCCTGTAGCTAGAGGACATATGTTTCTCCTTCCTTCTGGATAGATGCTAGGGACGCACAGCTTCTTTTCATCCTATTATGTGAAGTCATAACAACTATAATAGAATATAAATTTCCATGGCAATAACAGCAGTGTCATAACTTCAAAGTTACCATATAACAACACAAGATAAATCTTAGTCAGAATTCTAAACCCATTTAGTCATTTGTATTATTTAACACACAAATGATTTAAGCTTTTAATTTCAAGAGATTCAAATGCTCTTTCCAAATGCAAATCCTAAGCCATTTCACAGTAGTAAATAATGCAAATATATTATTATCCAAAAACATCTGAGTATTTTATTGATCATTACAAATACATATACAGACAAAAAATGAAACCTATTAAAAAATTCAAAGATTTCAATCTCCATCTGTATTTAAATTTATCAGGCCTCTGCCTTGTTAAGAGATTCCTGACTCAATTCTCTTTACCTGGGACCTAGTTTCTGCCCCCCACGCCCCACCTCCTCCACCCCCAGCAACCACACAATCCTGCAAGAAGAAATACTGCTTTGTAATAAGACTTTTTTTCTTTGGTCACCAGATTGTCCACTAAAGTAATTGATGCCTATGAACCTTAGATATAAATCAGTCCAGTAGAATTGATTAAATCTAGGCACCATTATTATGTTTAAATTATACGTATGTGATTGGCTTTAACAATTTATTTTTAAAGAACAGTTGGATTATTTTTGCCTGGGAGGGTGGCAGGTTTCCAAATGTTAGACCTGTCTTGATATAATGCAGGTTGGTCTGCCATCTGATCAACCCCAGTAAGAGTCAGGACCACACCCAATAGCCCCATTAGAATGCGGAAGGCCAAATGTCCATCTCTCTTACTGATGAGATGTCCTCAAAGGCCCTCAAAGATGTCCATCTCAGTTCCCAACAGCCACAAAGGAACCCAGCTTCCTCAGGACCAAGCCTCAGGAGGAATCCGCCCTATCTCTAGTGTGTCTCATTGCTACCCGGGCTCTCTAACTCCACATTATTGGCAAGGAGCCTCCCCATTTTGGCTGGAGGTTAGATTGTCAAGTGAATTCCAGGAATAAAAGTGAAAGTTTCTCTGTTTACGTCATTGAACCAAGTGGAAAACCCTGACCTATCAGAGGCATTTTATGCAATTACCCAGTCCCTTATTACAATTCTGTGTTGTCCTTTGCTATTACTTAGGTAGTATTTTATTTTTATTTCCATATTTCTCATTCCCACCTTTCTCAGAATTTTACACCTGCTTCCTTCTACGCGAATGTTCCACTGACGCTTCAAACTCAATATCACCCAAACTGAACTTACCTTTTCCCCTCTCCCCATCCATGACCACATTTACTTCTATTTCTATATTCCATATAATGGGATGACGTCTCATGCTTTTGAGTCATATTGACTTGATTCTTTTTCCTCCTCCTTCATCCCACCATCACGACATCCAATTAATTATCAAGTTCTGTTTATTCTACTTCTAAATATCTCTTAAATGTTGAATCCATCTTCATCTATATTTCTACCATCTTGGTTCAGACACCATCATGGCCATCTAGACCATTTGAATAGGATCTTCATGGGTTGCCAATCATCTATGGTTTCTAATTCATTCCCTATATGGACATCATAGTGATCTGTGCAAAATGCTAGCTCAATCTAGTCACTATTTACCTTAAATATTTTGAGAAAATCTCATTGTCTAATGAGAGCTTCTCCTCATTGGTTCACTGCAATTTCCCTGTCCTTCTGGTCTTACCTCCCAGTCCTTTCCATCATGCTCATTATACTTCAGCTGTACAGAAGGTGTAATAAACATCCCATATACCATTTTTGCATTGTGTCAGTGCATATCTGCACCACTGGTTAGGCTTTCTTCCTTCTCCTTGGAGCCTCAGCTCAAAGCCCATTCTGTCAGGCTTCTGTAACCTCTCCTTCCCCCTTCCTTTGCTTGCATCTTTCCGTTCTCCAATAGTATTCTATGTTGGACTTTAGTTATATTTTGTTTAAATTTTTATAATAAAAACTTCCTACTTATTACAAAAAAATCAAGATACAGAAAGATATATAGCAAAAAGTAAAAATATGCTTGTTCTTTCATTTCAGTCTCCAGAAATAACACTATTTCTTGTGTATCCTTCAAGTATTTTCTCTACATATATGATACATGTATATATTATATAACACGTGTATTACTATTAAGTACAAATAGGTTTAAGCAACACATAGCATTCCACAACTTGCTCTTTTTCACTTATTAATATATCAGGGATATATTTCTTATTTATAATATATAGTCATCAAATACCATGTTTAGATTCTTATCTAATAATTTCTCACTTTTT